TATATTCAAATGTACTTGTAATTGCAATTGTAAATGTAGATAGAAACAGTAGGAGGCGCGCGTGTCTGAGAGAAGGGTCGGAAGGAAGGAAGGAGGGAAGGGTGCAAAAACAGCCGATCGAAAGGCGGGGGGGGGGCGTTAATACTGGTTACGTAGATGCGCGTGTGCGGTTATCAACATCATTGTGTCTCTGGCCACATCACGCCATCTGCACCCTGTTTTTCCCAGAAAAAATAGGGATTTCTGGCTACTATATTCCCTGTGTTCAGCACTGCATGGGTATTCGACGTGAAAGATCTAAAGATATATTATAAAAAATAGGTTAACACTTAAAAACAAAGTGGGGATTGCATTTTACATACATTTACATTTAATGACCATTTTCAATTAGATTACTGTCATGTTGGCAACATGCCTGGAAGGAAACAGGAATCCAATGTCAAGAATATGATAGAGAAACTCAGGGTGGACATCACCTGTTCACACTCTCCGTAATTTGATTGGCTAAAATTCGGTTATCAGGACCGCACTGTTTGATTACGTGGGGTTTTGTTTGGTTTGTAAAGTCGAGGCTAGATTTACTAGTCGGTTACTCCAAATACTACGAGATAAGGAAGATAAACAACCGTGGAGGCCATTATTCATTGATTCAATGATGAATTGCGCAGGTCAGCTGCGTCCTATTTCGAGACTATATGAAATCAACTTAATTAAAATAGATTTGATATACCAATACTTAGTATACATGTTAGTTGTTTATTTAATTTAGAATGGCAACAAGGAAATAATTGAAAAACTGACATTGACATTCATATCTTTCCATTTTCTTTTACGTATTGACTACTGCAGTTTTTGGGAAAATATATATCTGCAGAAAAATTATTTTAAATAATCCATCATATTTATAGCGAATGAGTAAAAACTGTACAAAAATATCTGTGTCGACCTGAAATTTGTCATGTACTACATGTAGTAGGCTATATGTGACAATTATAGTTTCAGAGATTACAGTATTCCAAAGTATCAATGATTCATTTGCAATATTGATTTATTGGTTCAAATCTTAACTCCAGCATAGATATCGATCCATTTTCCTTGACTTATTGACTGCTCATGGTTTTTGAGAAACTATATCTGCGTTAAAGTTATGTCAGAATATCAGATGCATTAAGAACGGCCGCGACCACTGTGTCCTCGTAGATGTATAAATAATATTCTTGCATAAACATGAATGCATAGCAGAGGAGTAATAATTAAAATGCTCACCAGGGCTACGACCTGCAATTTGCTATCCAGATTATACAGGTATATGACGATTATGACAACAGAGATGTATATATATAATTATCGCGTGCAAAAATATCATGCTATGTTGGGATATAGCACCTGGTGATCGGTAAACATGTATTATATTAGAACACGGCCTTTATGTAGTAAGTCAGCATTTCAATCAATGTGATTTTAAATAAAATGTGCATATTTTTAGGAAAAAGATATTGTTTATGGCAAACAGTTTAAAAATTAGGATGTCGTTTCACGCATTATCTCTCTGATTAAGATAATCTTTAAATAAAGCGAAGCAAAAATAAGTATTAGAAGAACAAAAATGTTGGTAAAGCTGCAAAGTGCGTCGTTTCCTTTAGATTTGGTTAAATATCTATTTATTCATTTATATTGAATTATTTATGCTGCAATAATTGTTTGCCCATCGAGTTTATTAAGGTGGAACATTTTCATGGAGGCTGAAATGATACAATATTTTGTACGCGGTTCCTCGTTAAAACATTCAAAGACGCTCACGGTAACATGAGGACAGCTGTAAGGGCCTCCGCCACGAGGACAAGGACATCATGCGAGGACAAGGTCAACAGTTGAAAAACTGGGTCAACGCGCTCTAATTTTTATTTTCAAAGCAGACATCTAAGGCAGACATCATAGATAAAATTGTTCGTTGACCTATATATTAAGTTGAACGGCTGTGGAATGTTGTTTGCGCCTGCGTCTAATTCCAGCGGATTTGAGGGTTGATCTCGAATACTTCTTTTCCGAACAGTAGACTATTACTTAACACTTTCTGATATAAAAATCATTTAAAATTAAAGGTCGAAAGTTTGTGAACTCTAAGGGATCTCATGAAGCAGTTATAGTCTAAGTTACAACCTGATGTATAATATTCGAAATGTTTTAAAGAATAATGAAAAGAAAATCGTTTTATTGAAATCTGTTTTATAGAAAATTCAACTTGAACCAGTTATAAAATGACAAGAAATGTCTATTTAAAGGAAAGAATTGACACAAACAAAAGTAAAGTAAAAAATTTATCTGAATATTGAAATCGTGTTTTATTAAAGTTATATGATCCAAAAAGAAAGACAGTGAAGAATTTGTAAAAATTGTGAACTTAACTACCTGAAAAGAATCTGATGGAGCATTTATTGAAGAAATTATCACCCGACGAATAACTGCTAAAATTACACGAAAAAGGTACAAGTAATGAAAGGAGATTGTTTTTAAAAACTCTGCTTAATGTTGCTACAACTTTAACCGGTTATAAGATTAAGGAAAGTATCGATGCAAAGAAAGAAATACTATTACAAAAACACAAAATTAAAAAGTTGAAAAAAGAAACATTCCCATCTTACTGATCGTTAATTTATTTTGTTTTTGTAAGGTTATAAAATCGGTTTCTTCATCAGAGTAAATTTTCATGGTAAATGTATAATTTATATTACTTCACTCTCCTGATTCCCTCATGCATTCATCGTGTATAATTATTATAACAATTAATTTATTTCCGGTGATGTGACGAGTAGCATTTAGTTCAACCAACTAAATCTGATTTCATTTAAATCTACCGATAACGCAAATGACTGTTCAAATGAATAGAATCTTGAATAGATAGGATTTATTGATAAAATGGCCCCAAATTCATCAGGCGATGAAGCACGCATTTTTAACCTTGTGAAAGCTTGAAAACCCTCGACGATGGTGGATACAAAGGTATGCCAGGGTGGGCTGATTGTGGGGCAAAAGGGGGGGGAGAGGAACGCGACTTTTATCTGAAAACTTACTTCGAATTTTATAAAACTTGTATGCTCGAGAAAAAAAGATGTTGGAAAATTAGTAAAGATTCATTCACTTAATTCTTTCCCTCAATATCGATCGCTGTATCTCCGCACACAAAATGAAACATACAGACGCTCGCATATACCCCTTCTTTTACACCCTCCCGTAACGCCCTCCTACTCGCTCTCGTGGTAGTGGTGTGATCACGTTTCCACGTGCTTCCGGTATTTGAAACGGTCCACGTGAAATTGACATAATTGTCCCTGTTTCCAAGGTACACAAATGTATCACAAGGGCAGACGGCGGATTCCGGTCGAACATATAACTGTCGAATATTTTTTTCAATATCCGTGGAAACCAAAAGTGATTAATTTTGGTAAATACACGGTGACAGGAACATTTGCTGTGTGAAGAATGCTAATACAGATAGACCAAACACTTTGGATTTACTGATTTAATACCGAATTGTGGAGAGAGAGAGACGGACGGATATTCATTTTGTTTACTTAATTGTGTTTATGCATTACACGCCTATGACTGAATATACAGCCTCTGATACCAACTGTAAATAACGGGCTTGATGATGACATATGAAAAGGACTATCATTCACTGTTCAACTCAGGGAGATAGCAACACGCAACAAAGGGAGGTGACCAATCCATCCCATGCCATCTCAAAGGAACCGAACCTAAGGACACTCAATTCATTTTATGTTACGATACAGTCCTGGCCTAATTAGTAGTTTATCTATTCTATTTCCAAGCAGCAACAGATAAAAAAGATAATTCCAAAGACTAGACCTATATAACACATCAGGATGCTGACATCAAGGAAATCTGCCCATGGGTTTGCTCTGAGCCTTTGTTTGCTGGTCACCAGAACTGCGCTTTGCTCTGGTGGTAAGTGTATTACAACAGCTTTGAACGGAAACGGTAACGGCATTTATATTCTTCCATTTTCGGTAGACTTTATGGAAAAAAAGTAGCAGATTCGTATATAAATTGTGTTCGTGTAGGATAAACAAACTCTTTGTAATTTCAATTATGTGTAACTAATTAAAATTAGTTTAAACCACCTATACATTAACTAGTATGATAGTTGCATTGTGAATGTACCCTAAGTTTTGAACAATGTAAACCACCCCCTCCGACATTTCAATTACCAGGTGACAGTTGCCCGTCCACCATTGGGACAGAACACCAGGGATTTGTCCACCGGTCCCAGTGTTATCAATTTGTGAACCGTAAGGAGTGGTGGGAGACGGCACGCAAATTCTGTGCCAGGAAAGGAGGTCACCTTATACAGTTAGACAATTCTGAATTGGTGGCTTTCATCAAGGGCAAACTGAGAGGCAATTACGGGGACTGGGACACGGTTTGGATAGGAGCGAATGACAGAGGGACGGAGAACAAATGGATATGGGATGGCTCAGGTGGGAATCGCGAAACATTTTGAGACTGATAAATATGATAACTAAAGATGAAAATTAGATGTTAGATATCGACTTGGGCTTACCTGTTCAATTTTGTGTGATGCTTGCATGTTTATATTGCGCAAAGGTATTTCTGAACTTTACAAGAATGATTTGCCTACATGTACAACATTGTGTTTTTTTCAGTGTGACAGCTTGAGGTCTTCATTAGTATTTGAAAGGCGTATCAGATCATATTGATAACAAATTGATATTAAAAACCTGACAATGACTATTTTAATGTAACGTCAGGTATGGCATTTAGAATTCATTATGCTATATTGATAATTAAATAGCGGGTCTCCGAATTAAGCCCCCGCCGCACCCTGCGGTTGGCCCTTCTTCAAGGGGGTCGTTTTCATGGAAAATATTTTCACACGACAAAATAATAATTTCAGACGAAGAGATCTCTTACAGCAACTGGGGTCAGGGGCAGCCCTCAACCTCAATCTTTGTCGGTCCGTTTGAAGACTGTGCCACGATGGAGAAGGCAGACGACTACCGCTGGCATGACCATGCATGTGGCATTGCAGGACAGGCGTATCAATTTATTTGTCAATATGGTAAGAAAGGGACGTACTCTAATATAGCACTATTATTATCTTTTATTAGGGGGAAGAGAATTTAATTTAAATCAGTGGTAAAATGTGTCAACTCTGGAGTTGTCGGCGAGGTTGACGTATGTTATAGTTGCACACAGACTTGATCAGATTTAAAGATAAGTGCGAATGTTGAACGAGATTAAGATCCCTCGTAAATGTGACCAAGAATGATTTGAGAATCTGGAAAGTCAGGGAAGGTTTGATATAAGGTTTTTTTCGATACATTCACAGTTTTACTGTAGACAGATGGGCTCTTTACCAGGGTGGATTCCTGAGTGCAGTAAAAAAATAGACTGTTATATGATAATGCAAACCCAGTACACGGGTATACCCAATGATTGCTGATGCAAAGAGAGAGAATGGGGTGTGGAGGGAAAAGAGTTTATATAACGTCAGGGTCTGTTTTTCGTGGTTCATGTTCAAAATAGGCATGCTTGTTGTTTCACAGATGCCGTTAATAGGACCGCGACCACAAGAACCACTACTTCATCAACAATAACAACAGAAACAACAACAGGGACAAAAACGGCAAAAACAACAACAACAATAAGGGTTCCATCATCAGCAACCGTTGCACCACCTGCACCAGGAAACAGAACAGCTGGGAACCACTCAACACTATCAGCCTTATGGCCCAAAACAAACACAACAACTGCTACTACTACAGTGGAAACTCCATCAGCATCAACACCTGCCGTACCACCTACGCGACATGGCAAAACAACTGGGCATCATCCAACACCATCAGCCTTGTTATCCAAAACAACAACAGCAACAACGAAAACCTCAACAATAATACGGACGAGTCCATCATCATCATCAACGCCTGTGGCACCATCAATACCAGACGCATCACGCTACACCTGCCCGCAGAATTTGGAACCAAACTACCAAACATTTACATACAGGGACCATTGCTACCAGTTTGTCACCAAGGAGGAGTGGAGGTCAACAGCACAAGAATATTGCCGAAAATACCAGGGCCAGCTCATAGAAATACCGGATCAAAGCACCATGGATTTTGTAATTGATGTACTAAATAAGAAACTAAAGTGGGGAGTAAACGGAGTTTGGAATGGAGCGAGTGACCAACGCGAAGAAGGAGTTTGGGAATGGGATGGTTCAGGTAGGCAATGACCACGTAGAGAATAACACTGAATAAATTCAGGCTGGACGACCTACTCACCCGTGCGAAAACAAACATACAAGCCCCACCTTTCCTTGACACACACATACACAGATTTCAGTATTTACAATCCTACACGTATTTCTTCCAGACTTATGGTTCATTTTAATGAAATGATTATTTCAAGACCGAAGAAAATAGCAATTTTGTGCACGTTGCCAACGTGTGTATTTAGAGTATTTTATACACTTAATTACATCAAGCAATTTTTATCATCTTCTCAAAGGCAATCCAGTAATCTACTCAAACTGGGCACTGGGGCAACCCGGTGGTCTTACAAAGTGGACGGATGACTGCGCATGTATGAGGAGGACGGACAACTGGCAATGGCACGACTATGGCTGTAGTCAGCCAGGTTACAGCTATAGATACATTTGTCAATATGGTGAGCTGAACTGCCGTTTTATTCAACTCACAACTAATGCTAGTTGATATCTAACATGGACTGTATATGGGTTTGCCGCTGTCGTGAATATTCATATTTCATTCCATTTTGTTGTGTTCCTGATTGCTGAGAATTTATCTTTGTAACAACTGTATAATTACGCTTAGTAAAAGTGGAAAGCATAATGAACAAGTAACGATTCACGTATTGTCTGCCAACCGAAGACAAGTATAAATTTACTGGCGTGAGAACAATCAGTGAGGTTAACTCGTCTCTTTTCAGATTTAGTAGAAAATATTTCCACAAGCACAGTGCTCTCCCCTACTCGGTCAATAACCTCGACGCCAGGAAGCTCGAGCAAAAAGACTGGCCTGCTTTCAACAATGTTACCCAAAGCATCTCTTCCAGCGAAATCTTCATTAGTACCTTTGCCTTTTAACAAAACGGCATCTTTAAGAACAGCAACAGCAACAACAGCAACGTCGGCACCAACAGCATCATCGACCCGTGTGGCGCTACCTACCGGAGACAGCAACACAACTGGGCATCACCCAACGCTATCAGCCTTGTTAACCAAAACAACAACAGCAACAACGAAAACCTCAACAACAATACAGACAACTCCATCATCATCATCATCATCAACGCCTGTGGCACTATCAACACCAGATGCATCACGCTACACCTGCCCGCAGAATTTGGAACCGAACTATCAAACATTTACATACAGGGACCATTGCTACCAGTTTGTCACCAAGGAGGAGTGGAGGTCAACAGCACAAGAATATTGCCGAAAATACCAGGGCCAGCTCATGGAAATACCGGATCAGAGCACCATGGATTTTTTGATTGATGTACTAAATGAGAAACTAAAGTGGGGTGTAAACGGAGTTTGGAATGGAGCGACTGACCAACGCGAAGAAGGAGTTTGGAAATGGGATGGTTCAGGTAGGCAATGCCCACATAGTGAATAACACTGATTAAACACAGGCTGAACACGCGCACACACTCGAAATCAATCATACAACCAATCTTTCCTCCACACATTATTTGTCTCTCTCTCTCACTCTCTCACACACATACACACACGCGCGCGAGCACACACACATATACACATACTATGTACAGTATTCACATTTCTTCACGCACTCAAATTCTTCCGAAAATTTGTGGTTAATTTAAATCCAAGTTTTTTTTATCAAGCCTGAAGGTAACAATAGCTATATTCTGAAATACTACACGCAATTTTTTATCATCTTCTTAAAGACAATCCTGTAATCTACTCAAACTGGGCACAAGGTCAACCCGGTGGTCTTGCAAGGTGGACGGAGGACTGTGCATGTATGAGGAGGACGAACAACTGGCAATGGCACGACTATGGCTGTAGTCAGCTTGGTTACAGTTACAGATACATTTGTCAATATGGTGAGCTGAACTGCCGCTTTATTCAATAGGCTGCTAAATAGGAGGTAAAGGGAGCAGTGCATGGAATCGCTGTTGTCCTATATTTGTCTAGTAACAATACCTACAGTTAAAGTTTATTTGTCAACAATCAGTGAGGTTAACGTACTTTTTCATTCAAGACATTAAAACTACGTCCTCGTCTCTTTTCAGATCTAGTGGAAAATATTACCACAAGCAAGGTGCTTTCCTCTACTCGGTCAGTGACCACGACGCCAGTAAGCTCGAGTCAAAGGACTAAACAACAATCAACAGTATCATCCTTGTTACCCGAAACATCTCTACCAGCGAAATCGTCATCAGTACCTTTGCCTTTAAACAAAACGGCATCCTTTAGAACATTAGCAGCAACGACAGCAACGTCGGCACCAACAGCATCATCGACCCGTGTGGTACTACCTACGGGAGACAGCAACACAACTGGGCATCACCCAACACTATCAGCCTTGTTAACCAAAACAACAAAAGCAACAAGGAAAAACTCAACAACAATACAGACGACTCCATCATCATCATCATCATCATCAACGCCTGTGGCACAATCAACACCAGATGCATCACGCTACACCTGCCCAAAGAATTTGGAACCAAACTACCAAACATTTACATACAGGGACCATTGCTACCAGTTTGTCACCAAGGAGGAATGGAGGTCAACTGCACGAGACTATTGCCGTAAATACCAGGGCCAACTCATAGAAATACCAGATCAGAGCACCATGGATTTTGTAATCGATGTACTAAATAAGAAATTAAAATGGGGAGTAAACGGAGTTTGGAATGGAGCGACTGACCAACGCGAAGAAGGAGTTTGGAAATGGGATGGTTCAGGTAGGCAATGACCAAATAGAGAATAACACAGAATAAACACAGGCTGAACGACACACTTACACGTGCAAAAACAAACATCTTTTACATACACACTCGAACTCGAGCACACATACAAATACGATGTACGGTATTCACAATCCTGCTCGCACGCATATTCTTCCGAAGATTTGTTGTTGATTTAAATCAACGATTTGTTGTTGATTTAAATCAACGATTTGTTGTTGATTTAAATCAACGATTTTTGTCAAGCCTGAAGGTAACTATAGCCATATTCTGACAAACCCTACACGCAATATTTTATCATTTTCTCAAAGGCAATCCAGTCACGTACTCAAATTGGGCACAAGGTCAACCCGGTGGACTTGCAAGGTGGACGGAAGACTGTGCATGTATGAGGAGGACGGACAGCTGGCAATGGCACGACTATGGCTGTAGTCAGCCAGGTTACAGCTACAGATACATTTGTCAATATGGTGAGCTGAGCTGCCGTTTTATTCAATAGACTGCTTAATAGGAGATAAGGGAGCAGTGTATGGAATCGCTTTTCTCTTATATTTGTCTAATAACAATACCTACAGTTAATGTTTATTTGTCAATATGGTGAATTTTACGCTTGGTTACTGAGCAAATGTTTTCAAAGGCGGATTGAGGTGAGATGTAAGCAGGCACGTGCTTTTTAGGTGTCCTCTTTTAGCTTCTAAGTCACCCATTCTCCTCATTCTACATTAACCATTTAACATTTTCTAATATAATGAAAGAATAGAATCTTATACCGGATCTTACTTGAAATGAATATCACAACGTTTCGATCGTACAAGGCCTAAACTGAGTTGTCACCGGTGTAACGTGGTGACAGTCCGCGCGGGATTTCAAATAAGATCCATTATAAGATTGAATTATTTTCAATATCTAAATGAAATACAACTGGATGAATGAAAACATTCACTTTGATATTTCACATTTTGCCAGATATGGGGTAACTCGCTTTGAGGAAATTAGTTTGGTTTTTAATTCATATACAAAGATTTAGAACCGTAAATGTAGGATCACTTTTGTCACAGTCAAACTGTCAACATTTACAGGCCCTTTACCCACAACTTCGCCTTCGTCATTGTCATCCCAGTCTAGCGGAAAAGGTGAGGTGACCCCGACTACTTCGTCGCCCCGAACAATGTTATCCCAGTCTAGCAGAAAGGGTGAGGTGACCTCGACTACTTCGTCGCCCCGAACAATGTCATCCCAGTCTAGCAGAAAGGGTGAGGTGACCTCGACTACTTTGTCGCCCCGAACAATGTCATCCCAGTCTAGCAGAAAGGGTGAGGTGACCCCGACTACTTCGTCTCCCCGAACAATGTCATCCCAGTCTAGCAGAAAGGGCGAGGTGACTTCGATTAGCACGCTACCCCAAACGACGGCTGTTGATGCAGCAAAAGGTGCTTACATGTACATGCATCTTAAAATATTGACACATTCATCTTGATATATTTAAAACAATATTGACGGTATTATATGTATTGATTCAGTAATTCCAGGCCTGATTGTTAATAATATTTTATAGATTAAGGCATTTAAAACTGCACCATTGAGGCTTGGACGAATTTCGTAATTTAGAACATGATTGAAGCGATGACATTAATGTATGGACCGGTATTGTCTTTTATGCTGAGTTGTTGTGACATGAGTTTTTATTGTTCATTTAGGACCTCTTTCACTGAAAAATCAAGACGAGCATGGGGTTTCAAGCTCAAACAACAAAGGTATTCGTTATTCCTTTGGCTTTTATTCAAAATCGTCATTGATAATTTTTCAAGTATTTTTGAAACTTTGCTTTTAAATTGTATGATGTGGTTATCCTGATGCTACGTCACGAAACATATTGTCCAGAAGATGGATTAGTATTTCGAAAAATGATACATATAAAGACTATTCTGATCTCTTAGATTCATCCAAGAAATCTCAACAACCTGTTTATTCAGCATCTAGGATATTGAATTTCTTATGCATGTATGAATGTTCTACTATATATGTTAATCTATATATGGCAATTGTATATTTCTAGCAACCTACCTAGGGATTGGGATAACCTGTGGGGCTGTTATACTGATAGTTATAGTGGTCATTGCGGTGGTGTGGCATTACAAAAGGTAAGAGCATTGAACCTATCGTTCTATGTAGATCGATCCAAAACGCGAGGACCCTCGCTGAATGCAATCCCATTAAAAGATTAATAAACATCCTCCTGGCGTTGAGTAGATTACAGAAAGGCTGGTAATTATACGAGTACTTTGGAAATAAGAGGAGGCGTGTTTATCTGTTAACCCTTTCAGCGCGGGGTCGGAGAAATCTACGTAGAACAATAGTTTCATTGGGAATGAGCCCTTAGTCTTTGCGCACAGTGGAGACAACGGCCGAACTATTGATAAGGCCTTCTGAAGCGTGAGCAACATGTCGGAAGAAATTCGTGTCTAAGATTAATGAACCAAGATCGATCACGCAGTACTAGTATATTGCGATCTAAAGATCTGTGGAAATGGTCCCCTAGTTTCTTGAATAACTACAATGTAGAGGTCACCGCTCAGTTCAGCAAATAGGCAGAGCAGATGATAGGAACGTGTTGTGGGCAATATAGCTCAGCATATTGATCACAGTGTGCGCTGGCCATTTTTGCTCACAAATGAAAGTATATCTATGCCACAAACAAGATAAGGAAAAAGCCTTTAACAATGTTAAATTTCCTTACAATTTTATATGGAAACAGAGTAAGAATTCGATTCAGGAATGTTCTTTTTTTTTTACTTTTTGTTTTAAAGTTTCACTATTTTCCCCCCGCTATCTCATTTCTTGCGTTAAAACGAAAGTAAGCAAAAATATATTACTTGTTTACAGACGTCCAGGTTACTAGTTTAAGTGACAAAATGTTTTTTTTTCTTTACAGGAGAAACAAATACCCACGTTTTCAGGATAGGGTACAATTCAACAATAATCTGTACCAGCTTGACCAGGTATCTCTAGAGGCCTCAGAGGACCAAAACATGAACTCGAAAACAACAGAGAGTGTCGACGCCTTGTACTCCAAGCCGGACAAATTACACGTGAACTCCAACAGTGATAACACAGACGTTACTTTAATGCCGAATGAACTGTATGCTTGAGACCAGCGGGTCGCCGATATCTTTACAGAAATGTCGCTGTTTTCCTATTTGAGATGTGTTTGTGTGTCGCCAAATTACGCCTGATGGGTGTGCTAATGACAAGTGTGCATAATGTAAATATGTTCGTGTAAATATTATGTGCAATGTTGCATCCACCATATCAAGCATGTATATGCAAGATGTTACTGCTATCCATATTTATAGGTCATTTTACCCATCCTCACTCAATAGTGCGTTTATAGCTTCGTATCACGCAGTACTAGTATATTGCCATGTTCCGTTTGATTTCGAGTACACACAAGCACACACACACACACAGAGAGAGAGAGAGAGAGAGAGAGAGAGAGAGATCGTTGTATTGTGAAGTCGCTACTGCTGTAAACGCGCGTCGCGCCTGTCATCATGTTGTTTCACGGTTTTGCAATCAAATCCTGTCATACCTTCACAGTGCTCATCAGTTTAAGTACATTCTATGTATACTGTTTTTAACCACTTTATCCTGCATGTGCCTTTGCTATATTCTCATTGCCAACATTTTTATACAGTCTTGCCAAAAAATAAAAGTTAAAATTCGAAATTTATTTTCTTTTTTGATTGTGTAAATAGAATCTTTTATTATCGGTGTTATATACGAGGGAATTCCCTGTGATGTAGGGACCGTTCTGCATCAATTTGCGAGGGCAAGCCCCTAGATTCTGAACAACTCACGTCATCCGAACACGAACCTGTATGAATCTAATGCATGGCGGACTCTGTTTCACGGTATTTCAGTTTTTTTTCTAGAAAAACGACCTTAGAGTAAAAAAGGACCCCAACACCTGACACTTGTTTTGTGGGGGAGATAAATCAATATAACAGTTTACGCGGAAATCGATTGACAAAGGCAGAAGCCATAATTAGCTATATTCGGAACATTTTTCAAAATACAAAAATACAAGCCAACAATAGTCTCTTTATAGAAATCTTTGTTTTATCTGTCGTATTCTGTGGACAAGATGAATCTGCCGTCTAATAACAGTTGTTTCCTAATCAAGATAAACTCGGCTTTTGTCGTCACACAGTGCTTTAACCAGGTAGGTGGTTCTCCGCTTTTTAGGTAATAATAATAATAATAATAATAATAATAATAATAATAATAACGCTTGATATGATAATGGAATAACGACGAGAAGACAATTCACCGTCAAGATTGTTACTCTGCAGGTGTACAATTTTACCTAAAACGCTTACATCTCCAGAGTTGGTTTGTTGTCTTCGCTGATGACGAAGTATTCTTAACTCAAAAATTACTCACTCCACTCAGTATCTACATCATTCGCTCCTATATATAAATATATAGTCATGGTTGGCCGGGCGGTACGAAGATGCCTCGTGATCTTGACTTTGTTATCAATGGCGGAAAGGGGCACCACGGTTACTTTCCAATGATCACCCACAACATTGAGATGAACGATTCTATACAGACATATATCAGGTATTGCGAGGCTTTTGACGAGGCTGATTTCCAACGTCGAAAACGAAGTGAGTGAACAAAGGTTCGTGTGCCACTTGAGTGAGTTTGCAATAGTCCCTTACGTCATTTAACCCATCACGTGACCATCGGCTGCCAGACGTAGCCAGTAGTACTAATCTGGAAAATATATATATACACACACAAAAGTACTATATTACTCCAGGCCCCGTAGTGCAAAAAAAAAAAAAAAAAAAAAAAAAAACTAAACAGCCTGAAAGATAACATAACTTCATAAAAAGAATATACCTTATTTTCTCTAGTTTTGTAATCAATAACTTGAAAGTGTTTTTCGATGTTTCATTTCAAATTCACCAAATACATGTCCAGTTGCAACATGTAGGTACCCCGAGAGACAACACACTGGGCATATTCGGCTAATGAATGCTGACTTATTAAGAAAGCGACCCAGCAGGCACCTCTACCCAGGATGGTTTTAAAAGCATCCCAGAGCTTTTAGATCGATCTATCCCCGCGGGCAGTCTCACTAGATTACTGTCAGATAATCCGTTTTAAATGTCCGTCCCGCCTACTACAAGCTGTAAGGGGGTAATTAACTTTCGTGTCCGCCCGGCTGACAGTTATTTAGTGTGAACCGCCAGGGAGTTATGTCGATCTAAAGTAGGTCGATCTAATCTCTGGAAATGGGGTCTTAGTGTTGAAATATCCAGGAGAACTATATTTTGGTGTCATTACCCAGTACCTGTCGGACAGGCAGCATGGGCGTAACTAGGCATACGCACGGATGCACTGTGCGTACAATTTTTTGAGCCAATCATGATATTATTCTCTATAAATTTAGTGTATTTTTCACGAAAAATAATCGAAAATCCTCTTCGATTGCAAGTTAGAGTCACCTGAATGTACAAATCTTCTGTATGAATCGTATA